GTTGCTTATAAATGTTCTTACTTAGCAATCAAATTACTATTTTCTAATTAATTGCATTTGTTAGTTTCTACTTGTCAGTTTTTTCATGTTATTCATTCTATTGCCATTAGTTTCCATTTCTAAATGAATCATTCTAAGAGCAAAAAGTGAAAACATTGCTATTCCTCAAGTGTGATTTCTTATTTTGTTGACGTGAATGCATAGTAACTGCAAGTTTCTTCAAGCTGTTGTGGAATATTTATTTTTTAGTTGCCATGAGGTCATACACTTGGAGTTTTAAGATGACAGAAACTCCTGGTGGAGTTCTGAATACATTCAGCTTTTGTAATTCTGCTTCAGGCAGTAGCAGACCAGTTAAACAATCACTGATTGACTTTTATTAACCGATCTGTAAGGCTGATATGCTCAGGAATGCAACCTATAGACAGATTCTTGAAATACAGCCGAGAGAGGAATCTTACAGAAATTCCAAAAATAGGAGGTAATACTCTCCTTGCAAACTAATTTTTTTCCTTAGATAATATTCTTTACTTTATAAGGTATTAGATTTTTTCTGCTTTTTATTTGAAAAGTTAATCAATAAATCTATGATTATTAAAAAAACCCAAATTACCTATCACAGACTTAATTTCAAGCCTATGCTATCTTACATGAAAATAAAAAATATTTTTTTTTCCACTAAGGTAACTGAAGAATTAAAGTTAAAATGTTAACTGATGTAAAATTAATGTAATGTTTTCTCTGGAATAAACTAGCTAGAAGTCCTGATGAAGCTGCTGCACAGTGAGTATCCTGGTCTGTCCTTGGATTATCCCCTTGCTCTGGGGTATACTGGAGCCAAGCTGTACCTGGCATGCATTTCTTTCCTTAGTGAGCAACTCCGTTCAGCTCAATAAAGGGTGGAGAGGAAGGAGCCAGAGTTACACCTTTCTATGGGCTAACCACCTGTGCAGGGTGGCTAGAAACACAGAAACACAGCCCTGGTATAGAACACATTCTCCCATCCCATGCTGGTTTTCATGGTTATTCTACATATACCATGATCTCTCTTGGAGGATTAGAGCTGTGCAAGCCAGTTCCTGATTGTATAAACCATAAATTATGTGATATCACAGATTTTGATGCCTGTGTGATCTCAAATTTTTGTTTTAAAAGTTTGTTTTGGCATTATTAAATACATGGCATTTATTTAATTACTAGAGCTGAAAATCAAATTGATTTCTCCTATGAACATATAGCTATCATCATATATTCCAAGGAAAAAAAATGTAATTAATGATTTGGGGTTTATGTTTCTCTTTTATTTTTCATTTTGATTTCAAAAAGCATTTGTCATACTGCTTGGTCCACTAAGCATTTCACATATGAGTCCCTAGACTGAAGCAGCAGTTCTACAGTTTTGAAGAGCTTATAGAGACAGCCTCAGGACCTCTAAATGTGTTTACAAAGTTGACATGTTAGTGGAATCTGAGGTACATCAGGGTCTGATAACTCTAGTCTGAACCAAAGTCTGAGCCAAAAGAATGCTCATGGTGGGTATTTCTGGCCATTTCCATGTAATTAAATTTTTTAGTTGTATTTCTTGGCATTGGAGTGCTACTGATAAAGGTCCACAGTGGAGTGGAACAGAAAAAAGAAAACCAGACAAATTTACCAAAGCATTTTCATTAATTGTTAAGATAACCTTGATGATGAGAGGTAAAGACTCAAATTCTGTCCTTAAATGAATCAGAATGGAAATTGCACAGACGTGAAAGACCTTAAATTTATAGATATTTAAGCCTCCATCTCTTCTAAAAGCAAAAGTTGAAACTAGATCAAACTTAATTGCTGACATTTTTAGCATTTTTTTCCTTTTATTTGTCAAAGAAGGCATCATGTGTGGCATACACTAAAGCTCATACAACTCAATATTTGACTGCATCAGCATGTATTGTGCTGGAAGCTGTGTGTACAGCAGATATTCTCCACATCAGTGAAATTATCTCTGAAACATACAGGTAAAAATATGTTATAATAATTTTCGTTTTAATTAAGCCAACTGTGTCACTTCCTAAAGAGCACTGTACAAAGATCTTGTAACATGCAGTGAAAATGTTGAGGAATCCAGTTATTTGTGAATAATATATCATGTGCCACACAGTAATTACAACTGAAGTGTTTAACAGGTTTAATAGGCCTCTTTTCATTCTTCCATGCTTTTTTTTTGATACAGGTTACAACTTCCAGCAACATTCTTCCATACTCTCACTAAACACAGATCAGTTACAGCATATCCTTTTAAGAAGTTTGAAAAAATATGCTAAGTGTATTAAAAATGTGCCAGATATGTTACACCCACTGCCAGTTTCAATACCAATAAATTATCCTGTTTTGCAAGTCATTGCCTATTGCTATTCACAGACTTTGTGAATAAATTTCTAGCTTTCATTCATTCTCTGGAGATGCTGATGGCAGTTCTGGGAAACCGAGGGTTGTCCCCTTCCTTTTTTGAATCTTTTCCAAAAGGGATGGTTCATGGGGTTGCTATCAGTATGTTCCAGGGTAAATGCCCCCTTCTGTGGGATGCTTCTGGGGGGCTGTTATCATTGGGCTCCAGCTTTAACACCTCCAACCCACTGCAAAGCTTTTATCTGTAGCTGTTATCAATAGGCTTCACAGCTAACATACCATCACCCAAGAAGGCTGTTTACTGGAATGGCTTTTTTTTTAAGTCTCCAGAATGAAAACTGTACCCCAAGTCTGGAGGAGCTGCCATCAGTAGGCTCTAAAGCATCATCTAAACAAAACTTATTTGATAGCTTTGCACTGATATAGGACACAGATGAAAGCAAGAGAAAAAAAAAAAAAAAGGATGCAGAAGATTCAGCTGAATGCCACAAAGAACACAAGAACTAGAAATCATCAAATAATGTTGGCATTTTTAAATAATCCAACAAGAAATGTGATTAGCCAGCTGCACTGGTAATGCATTAACTCCTGCCAGTCTTCACAGTATCTGCTTCACCTACGGTAAGAGAGCAAGCTCATATACAACTTTGTTAGTGTGTCAAAGACTGCAAGTGTTATGAAAACTGCTGGTTATACTGCATGAGTACTTGACCAGTGGGAGAAAATTCCATCTGTGTGTGCCTTTGAAGTTTAAGTGCCCTTTACTAAACAAATCAGATTGTGTTAAAGGAATCTTATGTCTTCTCAACTGGTTTGCCACTCCACTGTTTTACCTCACCCACAGCATCTCTATTCAAATCACAATTCATATGCTTCAGAATGTATTTCCTAACTGATGCTATATTAACCACAGCCCATGTAGCACAGCAATGAAAAAAAAAGCCATAAAGGTCTCAAACCATAAAAACGTGGAGACTGAAAAGCTTTAAGGGTCACTAAATAAAGCATGGGTAACAACTGGTATTATTGACAAATAGTCATGAAATCTGGGCAAGGAAAAACCTGGCAGAAACACTCATACTGCAGGCACAGAGATTCACACACTACTGGCAAAATCAGAATAATGAAACTTAACTCTGTCCAACCCTCCTAGGGAAACCTTGAAAGAGTTTGTATGTTCCTGAAGCATCAACACTGAAAAGCCTGTTGACCATGAACTCCCAAAACAACCTGGAGAAGTGGGCATTAAAAGGAAAAAAACGCTTGAAGACATCAGTAGCATCTGAGGAGTGATGCAGAAACTGGGGGCCCTCAAACTGAGAGGCCAGAACAACTGAGAATATTGATAGCTTTGCTCTCTCCCTCCCCTCTAATAGTAAGCTTAGGACACAGAGACCTTGGAAAAGCATCAAAAGATACAAAGCACAAACTGGGCATTAGATACTATCAACTTCCCAGCTCATTTCAGGGATGTCCCATTGTAAATGACTGCAGGTGGAGTAAGTGGCAGTTACAGCTAACTCACAACATTTATTCACCCCCAAAGAAGGCCATTCTTACATTTACATTGTTGCTAAATAAGATTAGAAGCTCAGTTGTTGAGCCTGGACAGAAGCAAAGCCACGTCAGCTGCTTACTCACTCCATTCCTCCTAGGCCAAGACTTAATGGAAGGGCCAAAGCAAGAAAAGGTAGAAGTTTGAGACAAAGACTGTTTAATTCTTCTGGTTCTTGAGGAGGCTGTTTTTTCCCTTCTGGCTTTAAGTGGTGATGTCAAAAGGATTCTACTCTGGTTTCTAGGGCGTGGGGTGAGAATTAGAGTGGGCAATTCTCAAGGATACACTGAGGCAAAAGCCTCTGTCAGCTCTCTCAGCTCTGTGGATAGCAGTTCAGTCAGACATGAGCCATTGGACAAAAGCTCTGTGCTCAGGCACCACTGGAATAGAAAGGGCTGTGCTGGGTCTCTGGGCACATGGGGACACAAGCAAGTCTGTGTGAGGAAAATCTGGGGCTGCCCTATACCACACTGAGCCAGTTCCATGGCAGCCCCATGCCCAGCCCCACAGGAGCCCTGCAGGCAATATGGCAGTGCGGCAGCATGAACAACTTAAGGGTCTCAACATCACAGTGGGCTTTGCACTTTACTGGGTGAGAACGGCCCTTTGGGATGTCACCTGGTGGTGGATGTCAATGACGGTGGTTCCACCTAGCAATGGATTATGATGTCACAGCTTGTTTCCCTCCCTGCACCTCACCCAGTCAGTGCCACACTCCACCTGAACAAGTTCTCATGTAGACACGCCGGAGGCTACCTCCCAGCCAGGCCAGCGCTGCGCTTCTCCACTGCTGCAGGCCTGGCAAACAATCATTGCCTGAAGGCGCAGCAGGGAGTTCTTGCTGCATCTTTGCTTCTAACTTGCTGTTCTCCCCATTCCTCCTTCTCCTCAATCTGCTACTAGTTGTTGCACTTCCCTTTCCTTCACTTCCTTTCGTGATGCTAGTTTTGCTTTCTTCTTGCTCTGGGCTACACAAAAGCTCCGTACCAGTGCTGTGTCAGAAAAGCCCTTTGGTAGCTCTCCTGTTTTTCCTGTAGTTTCTCTAGCCACCAGCATGGAGGGACGCTGGGTAGGCACTTGGAGACCTCATCCCCGACGGGGCCCAATCCTTGCAGAATTCAGCACCCCAGGTCCCAAGTACTGGATCCCTGGGTCAACAGGTAAACCAACTAGCAGTGGAGGTAGTGGCAGCAGGAGGCACAGCACACTGCTTGCTTCCAGTTAGAAACCTCCTCTCACTACACAGTTGCAGACACAGGTCCTTTCACAGGCTTTTCTTCCCAGGTCATATGGCTCATGATCCCACCAAAGACAGAGCCCCTGCATACTCATTTCGAGGGACCAAAGCTCCCTCCACAGAAACCTGCTCACCAGGTCCTCGGTACTTCATCCATCCATCCATCACCAAGTCCGGGAAGTATGTGTCACCATCAGCACATATGATAGGACGTCCCAAGACCAAGATTTTGGTCACACCTGGACCCAGTGAGTAGCATTTCTGTGGCCCTTCTTCCAGGCCAGACAAGCATGCATTACTGTTGCCTTGTGCCACTGGAGCACAAAACCCTCTGCTCATGTCCTGAATGGGATTCAGATTGCTCCAGACAGAAAACAAGCAGGACTGAACACCACCTCCTCTTTGGCTTGCATTCCCAGCTTCACTTCTTTTCTTCTTGTCTCCTTCTCTGTCCCAGGTGACTACACGACAGATCCTGCCAACAAACATGTCTATTATAAAGCACCGGCGAATAGCCTGGCATTCCGACCCAAGGACATAAAAGGTTCCCGAACACCAGGTATGGAACTTGGGGAAACAGACACTCTTGCAGCCTGCGTATCCTCCAGGGAGCACCTGCAACTTTTTCAACAGGCCTAGCAAAAAGCCTAGGCAGCAAGACACAGTGTGTCCTCAACATACTTTTTGCTGTCCCACAGCATCAACTTCTCCCATCTCACAGAGAACCGGCAGCTCTGGTTTCAAACAGCCAAGGCACACCTCATGCAAAAAAACCCAGAGGCACTGGGATGAGGGGCAGGAAACCTTTCCTGCTCTTCTCAGCCATCTTGGCAGGCTGACTCTCTTCCACCCAGGCATTGCACCCTTTCCCACAGGACTGACCGATGCCATCTTCCTATTCCATTTCCAGGTCCTGGCGCCTACACCCTGCCCAGGGTTCTGGGACCTCACACAGCATACACTCATGCTGAGCCATGCTACTCCATGAAAGGGAAGAGTCAATACCAGAGCTGTTTTCATGACTTGGCAATGGTGAGCTGTGCTTCTCTGCTCTCTCACAGCAGCAGCAAAATCTCAGCTGCTCTGCTCAGGGCACAAGGGCCCCTGTTCCTGCCGTATCCCCATGTAACACAAACTTCCCTGAACCTGCAGCAAAGCCCAGGTTGCCACAGGGCCTCTGGCTCTGCTATTACCAGTAACACCGATACCTGCAGCCCCTTACTTTTCCACACCAGCAGCTTTGGCATGGTACAGCTCACTGGCACTAACGGCACTAATCTCCCTTGTCCTCTGGGAAATCTACCTCTCTTCCCAAGGAGGCCTCATTCCAAAGGCTCCAGACCTCCACACTGCTCCTCTGGCCAGACATCTAAAGCAGCACACAGTACTTGTGGGCACACAGCAAGAATCAACACTGTCTCTTGTACATTGTGGATTCTTCTTTGCTCATTGCTTCTCTTCCAGACACCAGGTCCTGCGGCATTTGCCAAGGTGGATATGGATTTCTACAAAACCAGGGCTCCCAAGTACACAATGGGACTAAAAATCAAAATGGCTGGGAAGGATAGGATTCCAGGTCCAGCAGACTACAAAATGGGAAAGGTAAGACAGCCTGCCTACTGTATGTTATGCTGGACAGCCTTCACTTGAGGACAACTCTGGAGAATGAGGCAACATCTTCACCTCTTTTCTTCCCAATATCACCTTCCAGGTGTCACTGATCAAGGCCCGGGATCCTGCCTACACATTTGGAGTCCGACATTCTGTCTACAAAGCTTCTTTAATACCTGAAACACATCTTGATTAAAGACAGATACCTGAAGAGATCTTTTTCTGTTCTTCCTTTACAGCAGGGTGTGTGAGTGTGGGCCATTGGCTTCACTGTCTCATGTCTATGCCTCAGGCAAAACACGGCAGGATGAGGGTGAGGGGAGAGCAGCAAGGAACAGCATGAAGCAGGCTAACATCTCCAACACTACTGTTTCACCTAACCAGAGCAAAACGCTTTGAAAGCTTTCCAGCCCTGACTTGTACACTCACCCCATGGCTCATGCTGGCCTCAAGGAAAAAGCTCATCTCGGTGTCCTCATTTTCAGTGCACACAGGTAGCATCTGCTCAAGCTGTGCCCGGAAACACAGATGCCCTGCATCCTCTCTTGCCACAGGCAGGGGCTCATTTCCACAGGCAAGTCCCCAGAACACTGAGAGCTAAGGAGAAAGAACAATTATTCCCATTCTGAAAATTGAATCTTCATAGGATCTTGCAACAGCCTAGGTGGGAAGGGATCTCCTCCAACCCTCGTGAGGGAGAGGCAGCCTGGAAGAGACTAGCCAGCACCCAGCCAACTGCTAACTTGGTTGTGGCCAGCGATGGGACTCTACTGTGCCCCTGGGGAGGCTGTTTCTCCTCTCTGGCTAAGTGGTGATGCCAAAAGGATTC